AGTGAGACAGAACCACCTTAAGGCCCCATTCATACATCTATCCTTAGGTGTGATTAGGGATTTTGGATTGATGCATCCACGGAGAATGATTGATTCCTAACCACATGTAATCATATCATCTACCATTACATGCAGTGTGCGGCATTTACCTGCAGCGGCCGTCACCCGATCATTAACTCGAACGGGTGACAGCTGCCGCTTGTAAACAGCAGATTAGGGATTCCTGCTGCAAGTTCCTGACACAGGCCCCGTTCACACCTATCTCTTTATGTGATTAGGGATTCCTAATAATTTGTTACAAGTCCTTCCGTCTGCTTTAGCCCCTTTGCAGCAGTTTGTAATGCAGAAGGTGTTTAATGGGCTTCCTGATAATGTAATCACTGTCATTGGCTGTCACAGTGATCACGTGATCAGTGCCTGATCCTCATTCAAAACAGTGCTGTCGGTGACTGTGCTGTCACAGTGCTGGGGTGACTGTGCTGTCACAGTGCTGGGGTGACTGTGCTGTCACAGTGCTGGGGGTGCAGAGTTAGCATGCTCCGAGCACAGAATGACGCCGGCTGTACGCATACATGTGGCCGTGCGGCGTTAAAGCCCACTGTCGTGCTGACACATATTTGCATAGAACCGGCGGGAAGGAGATAAAGTCGAACACCAGATAACTTTTATTTTTGAACCTCTGTCAGGTTTTATCACTGTCTGGTTGCCTGTTAGATGGATTTCCATAACTTCCTGTCCCTACTACCATACAGGAAGTACAGGGAAATGTCTCACAGAGAACCTTAGATTAAGACTAAAGCATTTCCGTGCTCACTAATATTAAACTTTTTCAAGAAGCAGCTTGCAATGTCTCACTGCCACTTCCTCCTGAACTTATTCAGATACAATGAAAACCGGACGGAGGTTCTAAAGCTTCCACACTCCACACCAGACTACATTTTTCGGCTCAGGCTTATAAGCTGCCTTGACTGACGCAGTTTACATCGCCCCTGGCTCATTCCATCCCCAAAAGACTCCGCTGATGTTATTTCCCAGCAGCCTCCTGCTGCTCCTGTACAGCAGGGCTGGAGTGTAAGAGGAAGAAGCACAAAGAGCCAATCAGTTTATGTGCTGATAAGCCCATCACGCTGCTGCTTCTCCTTTTATTGTCCAGTCACAGGCTGGGGATGGGTCCAGGATGACCTGGGCTCAGGGGAATTGGGGTGAACGATGCTGACCATCATGCTGAGGGAGTCTAGTGGCATAAAAAAGTACTGCGGGGGGAGCTCTCTAGATTGAAAGTGCTATTGCAGCAAAAGCTAATCTTGTAATTTTACCTTTAATGGGCTCTTCATTTATATAGCTGGAGTTCTGAATAAATATTAAGAGGCCGTCAGTGGAAGCAGATGAGCTCCAACTCCCAGGCAGCACACGAGGGCCACTAATAATGACCTCCGGGGCTGAATATGACTCTAAATCATACATCACCGACCTAAGAAAGCCCCCGAAATCTGCGGAAAGGGACGGAGAATGTGCGACGTTACATCGGACGGCTGGAAGACTTATCAGCTATTAAGGTAATAAGGTGACGATGTGTTTTCTTGTGCTTTGTATTGTACGCCGAAGTCAGCGATGCGGAAATGATAACATGGCCAGGAAGCGGAGGGGCAGGCCAGAGGCAGCCTGCAGTTCTCTAGCTGCTGGGGAACTACAAGCCCCGTCATGCCTTGCGCGGTGGTGATATTGCACCGATGGGGATTCCCCGTTACGATAACACAGTTAAAGTGACGTTGCCTTTCTGCCGCTTTAAGATGGCCACTGCCTCTTCGTGCGTGACGCCTTCTAGGCTCTCATCATTCACCGCCAGTATCTGGTCTCCTCGTTTTAGTCTGCCGTCAACCGCGGCGGCCCCCTAAGAAACAAACATATTAAAAAAGACAGCAAGGCTTTAAATAGGAAACTAAAATCTACAGAGAAATGTGCGTTAGAAATACTGACTGACGTGCGTTTGTCTGCAGTAAATACACAGCGAGGTAAGTGTATACACGAATGCTGGAAGCACAACAAAAAGTCCTCTTCAATAATGATGTGCGCGGCTCGGTGCAAACCCAGTTCACCCAAACCTGTGCAAAACTGTGACAGACACA